CAGAGTGAGGGTCCCTTTTCAGGGGTCTCACATATCCTGGGGAAAATATCAGATTAGTAAAGGGACCCAGAACCCAGAAGATCTAGGAGATTCATTGGTTAGGGGAGGGCCCAGCACGAGCTCATGAAGGATTGGGAAATTGATTGATTGTTTGAAAGAGTACCTGTTCCATCCCAAGCCCAAGATATCAAAGTCTCTCTCTCTCTCTCTCTCTCTCTCTCTCTCTCTCTCTCTCTCTCTCTCTCCTCTCCCCTGGTAACACATATTGGTTTGTCCATCGTTTCACGCATTCTTTCTCCATAGAAGCCATGTGGGCCTAGTAGCCAGGTGGGCCCCAAGAAGAAGCTCCAAGTGCAAGCCTGGGTAGAGCAACACAGCGCCAACCATAGTGCTTCAGGGAACAAGACCAAGCTAGCCAGATGGGGACAGAGTCTGGACTAGGCTGACTCAATGCCACAGAATTTCTCTTCCTGGCCTTTCTTCTGGTATTGAAGGCAAGACTGGACGTCTTCCACAGTGGGACAGAGCTGACCCCAGGACAGTCCTTTTTGTTTGCTTCAGCTTCAATAAACCTTACCACCAGACCTTATGCTCCCATGCATGGGCACCTCAAGGACCCCAATTCCACAAGCAACACTTATTTTTTTGGATTACTGCTGATTACATTTTCTTTTATTTTATTCAGGATTTTTCCTTCTAATCACTTGTTATTTTTTTCTTATATTATCATATAATATTTATTCCAATGTTATACTAGATTCAAAAGGACTTGGAAAGCATTCTTTCATTTTCCACCCTCAAGAATTTTGTATAGAATTTAAGTGATTTATTCCTTAAAATTTTAGTAGACTTCATTGTAAAACCATTGAACCTCTTGTTTTTTTCACTGGGCAGACCTTTAAATTCTGGTTCTATGACTCATATATTTGAATTCTTTGTAAATTTTGGTTAGTTGTGTTTATTTATGTATTCATTTTTTTCTGTTTTGAATTTTTTAGTAATGTTTTTCATGGTTCTATTTCTTCTGACTGTTTTTGCTAAGTTGTACTCTTTAAAAAATAAGTCCTTAGAAAAATTTATGATTTTATTGGGATAAAGTTGTCCATAATATCCTCTTATTATAATTTTAACTTTTAAGATCTATAAGATGTCCATTTTTCATTCCTGATATTTAAAGCTTGTGCTTTCTGCATTTGTTGATTAGTTTTTCTAGAGTTTATCACTTTGGTTCATCATTTCAAAGAAAGAATTTATTGCTTTGTTAATTCTCTTTTATTTGTTTTCAAGTTTTTGATGTTGCAGATCATGCTCCCTGGGAAGCAGACTCCAAGTGAAATTTGGCACCATAGGTTGATTAGGTAGTGTTCTTGGAATTAACACCCACAGGGAAAGGATTGGGAAACAAAGAAGTTGGGTTCTGGTTCTTTCACAACAAAAGCTTCAATCAGTCCCACAGAGTTCTGAAACTGGGATGGCCTTTAAGAGTTATGAGTTGATGTGATTGGGCCAGGACTTCATAGCCCTGCATCCACATTGTTGGATGCTTCAGGGAAGGGTGGAGGGAGACCTCTGGTGAGACTGTTCTACCAGCCAGCAGCACTCCAGCAACTCACAGAATGATTAGTTTAGTAAAGGGGTGAAACACAACATCCAATTTAGAACTTAGAATATCTGCTTTTAAGATTCATTGTACTTGAGTCAACCTCCACATATGTGTTGAAAGCAGCAGCTTCTTTATGATTCTGATGGGCTTTTTTTTTTTTTGCTTTTTTTTGGCAGGGTACAGAGAACTTTATTGATGTTGCGCGACAAAACGGCTCCCTAGGCCCCTCCCCTTCTCCAGGGGGCCTGGGATGGAAACGGTGGTCAGGAGATTCTCAGTGTGTCAGGGGATCGATCTGGGGCAGGGACTCCCCAGCAGCAGAGGGCCTCTCTTCCTCTTGCTGGGGCTGATGGTTCAGGGGACTCTTACTCCTTGGAGGCCATGTGGACCATGAGGTCCACCACCCTGTTGCTGTAGCCAAATTCATTGTCATACCAGGAAACGAGCTTGACAAAGTGGTCATTGAGGGCAATGCCAGACCCAGCCTCAAAGGTGGAGGAGTGGGTGTCATTGTTAAAGTCGCAGGAGACCACTTTGTCCTCAGTATAGCCCAGGATACCCTTGAGGGGGCCTTCTGATGCCTGCTTCACTACCTTCTTGATATCATCTTTTTTGGCAGCTTTCTCCAGGCGGCAGGTTAGATCCACAATCGACACTTTGGGGGTGGGGAAATGGAAGGCAATGCCAGTGAGCTTTGGGCACATGGGCATTTGGAGAAGGGGCAGAAATGATGACCCTCTTGGCTCCACCCTTCAAATGAGCCCCTGCCTTCTCCCTGGTAGTGAAGACACTGGTGGGCTCCACAACATACTCAGCACAGCATCACCCCATTTGATGTTGGGGGGATCTCACTCCTGGAAGATGGAGATGGACTTTCCATTGATGACAAGCTTCCTGTTCTCAGCCTTGAATGTGCCTTTGAACTTGCCACGAGTAGAATCTTACTGCAACATGTAGACCATGTAGTTGAGGTCAATGAATGGGGTCACTGATGGCAACAATATCAACTTTGCCAGAGTTAAAAGCAGCCCGGGCAATCAGGTGCCCAATGCGGCCAAATCCGTTCACTCCGACCTTCACCGTTGTATCTCAGGGTTGTGGCTGGCACACCGCAGGAGGAAAGGCTGTCTGAAGAACAGGAGGAGCAGAGAGCCTATGGGCTTTATTTTTTTTTCCTGTTGGTAACTCTTGAGAGGAAGGAAGCATAGTCGTCAATTTTGCAGCAGACCTTGAAGTTTCTACTGATACGCAGAATCACCCTCATTATCATGGACTGAATATTTGTGTTTCTAAAATTCATGTTGAAGATCCAAATATCCCAGTGTGATGGTATTCGGGGGTGGGGCCTTTGGGAGATAATTAGGTTCAGTTGAGATAATCTTATGATGCCATTCATCTAATCTAATAAAAGAGAAACGTGCAAATTGACTGCACCTCCACTACACCCCAAGCCACGCCCACCAGCCAATCAGAGTGACTATATGTAAATTAACCCACCAAGATGGCGGCTGGCAGCCACAGAGCTGGAGCAAGCAGGAGGCTTTGTTGCCCCAGTGATGGAGGAAGCCAAGCTTCCCTCCTGCCCTGGCCGGCTGTAGCTCTGCTCAAGGCTACAAAGTTTCAATTATATATAGAAGATAAATAAATCCCAGATACCTGCTTT